GCTTCACTGAAAGATACGCATGACAATCGCAGCTTCTGTCTAATCGCGATTTCGATTCCATTTCGATTTATCATGCAGCCCTATTACCAACTTTAAAAAGTGCTACATTTATGTGGGGAAATCTTCCCAAACATATGGCTCTTTTTGTGCACGACAATATATAGTAGGGATGCACCGAATGTTCGGCAACCTAAATTATTCGTCCGAAAATAGCAAAAAAAAATCTCTTTCGGTGTTCTGCCGAATAATATGTACCGAACAATGACTAACGCGATCAAATAGAGGCACACACTAATGCAGCAAACATGTCGGCAGTGTGAAAGTATTTAAAACTATCAGAGAAAGACGCAGAAATCATTCATAGCAGCGCTGCACGAGCTCGTGGCGCCAGGGTTCAAAGTCCAAAGCGCCAGGAAAATTTGTGCTGAAACTGTTACTCGTCAGTTGCTCAGTAACATTTTTGTGGCTTTTTTTAAAGGCATGTGACAATGTGATACGTGCGACAAACATCTTCCCAAAATCGTTATGAGAATCATTTATAAGTCTGCATGCTGTTGTCAACAAAAAGAAGCTCAGATCTTCCTGCGGGTTTCTGCCAAAATAAAAGCCGAGAAAAAGCAACAACTCCATCGACATTCATAAATGATAGTATTGTAATTTTACTGTGGTTCCGTAAAATAAAATAAAAAGTAAGACAATAATAGACCTAATGATAATAATAATTACCCTACAACAGCTGTGTTAATACATTTATTATAACATTCACACATAGTGTTCAAATTGGGATCTGTAATATATTCTAATGTTTTAAAAGTATTCTCTTCTGCTCAGCAAGACTGCCTTTATTTGTACAGTAAAAAATACATGCCTGATCTCAAAAATGGCCAAACAATATTATTTTACTAACTTATTAATTTTTAGTTAAATTGTGCTTTGTTGGTATAATGTCTGCTAGAATGTTAAAAATATTCAGAGTTAAGTAAATATTTTTAAATTGTTGTTTTGTAATTGATTTTTTATTTGAAAAGCAGGACAAAATAGTAAAAAGCACATTTTGGCTATTTAATTTATGCAATGGTGAAAAAAATGGCAAAATAGGCCTACATGGGGGAAAAGATGCGAAAAAAACGTGTTCGTATTCGGCCCAGTATTTCATTTTGTTCGGCTTCGGCCAAGAATTTTCATTTCGGTGCATCCCTAATATATAGTTTTTGTTTTTTTAGGAAGGGGATATTTGGGTGTCCTTGGCATCAAAACTGTTCTAGAGAATTAAACTACATGGTGGAGAATTAGCACTCTAAGATATTTTGACACATGCTTGCCCGCGCTCTCTGGGCTTCTGCCATGCAGTCTGTTCCAGTTAGAGATCATGCTAACTCTCTGTTTCTCTCTCTTGTTTGCAGGAGTATATGGAAGATCAGAAGTACCGGGATGAAGAGGATTTGCCAGAGAAGTTGAATTCTTTTAAAAGTAAGAGTTGCAAACTAAAGGATAGTTGAAACATTTTAAACACCGACATAGTCCAGCGTTTATATGCGCACATGTTTGTGTGTTTGTAGCATGAATGCTAAGAGAGCTTGTGTGGGTGTTTGTGCATGTGTGATGGACTTGCTTTCTTGCAGGAATGTGCTGGTCTTGCCCCCTCGTTGTTGTGGTTTTGGACATGTGCTTCTTGTGGGAGAGGGAAATAACGGTTTGTGTGTGTGTGTGGGAAAGGACAACTGGAATGTAAACGAACAGTCCTCTGAGCCTTTTGGTCAAAGCTTAAGTGTGGTTTTACTTTTCTCTCTGAAAACCCGCATGCAAACTTCAGCCACCTGAATCCCGAAGTCATCTTCCCTCTCTTTCTAATGTTAATGCTGCTCAAAAGATGACCCATGAAGTTTAAAGTCAATATTTACACTAGAGGCGCAATATCACACAGGGCGTCGGCGTCAACGCTTGACGGAGGGCGTGTCTGAAGCTTGGCTCTGACGCGATCATCATAGTGACAACAGCCAATTACATTGGACCGCAATTGGCTAGTGCCTGAGCTAGTGTATTTGCATAAGGCGATCTGATTGGCTGACACCTCCATTGGCGCTTGAAAAGTTGAGAAATGCACACGCCCCTCAAATCTGGCCCACGAGATCCACTTTCCTGCAGAGTTTAGCTCTAACCCTAATCAAACACACCTGAGCATGCTAATCAATGTCTTCAGGATCATTAGAAAATCACAGGTAGGTGAGTTTGATCAGGGTTGGAGCTAAACTCTGCTGCGCATTGGCCCTCCAGGGCAAGATTTGAGGAACCCTGATATAGACGATGTCAGTTAAAATAACTATATAATTTCTGTTTTTTACATTTAGGCAATCTTTGCCGTCATCTAATGCTCACTTAGTTTATCTTTAAAAACACTGTTAAATGCAATCTTAACAAATCTCAAAATTAATATCCATTTTTACTGTACAATATAATGTTATGCTTACATTCACTTGTAGCATTTAAAATAATTGATTTTAGGTTTGAGTGGGTTAATGTATTTAGACAAAATAGTCTAAGTAAGTTTTATTATAAGCTATTTTATTGGTTATCGGCCATAACGTCTGCTTATCTGTGTCAGCCAAAATTTTTAATAACAGTGTATCCTTATCTGAAACAACTTTCCTTTTTGGCTGACTGAGTTCCTCTTACTTTTCAACCCCTCCCCTCCATCCGCCTACTTTTCACAATCCAGTCTAGTCTGCTCTACTTTTTTCCTTCTTTGAATATCCTGTTTCAGTCAGAAATATGTCAGATCATTGTTGTTGTTGTTTTTTTTAATGGATTGCAAGACATGTTTCATGTTAACTTTAGACCCAAGGGCCTCCTTTAACTCTGAATTATTTACTACCAGCCGTCCTCAGTGTGTACACTTGGGTTTGTGGGTCATTATCAAGAGGCAGTGATCAGGTTATAGGGGTTAAGTGGCTCTGAATGTTTCAATGATTTCTTGTTAAACAGAGTGAGCAAATGGAAAGATGGAAAGGACAGAATTCAAAAGCACAAGGGACAGGAGGAGCACCAAACCTTTGAGATTTCTCTTGACATGGTTGAAATGAAGGCGCATGCTCACACACACACACACACACATACAGTCAGAGCACTTGCCGCAGTGTTTGGCCCACTAATGTCATTATGTGTGTACACCGCTGCCCTAAAACCAGAAATGAAATGAGAGAGTTAGGAGAAAAAGAATAGTTTTGCGAATAAGAGGGATCACCATCCAAAAAAAGACATTTAGAGAGAGTGATTCAGTCAGTGAAAATTGTGAGTTACATTTAGGCAGTGTCAGTGCATTTCAACGGATGACCTCTCTTGCCAGCTATGTTTCACACGCACTCATTGAGCTCAGAGGTGAACAGGCTGCGTTTGTGTTCATAGGGGGCCATTGTAACCCTCTCCTTCCCATCAGCCTCCTCTCACGGTGACTCCGTTACACTCTCAATGTGTCCACTCTGACAGAAGCCTCATTGTGAGAATGAAACACAGATTGAGAGAGAGGAAGTAGTAGAATAATCCAGCAAATCAAATAGGACAAAGATTCAAATCTGGTACTAGATGTCCTCATTTACGGATATAGCCAGCCATCCTTTGTGAAATAGGCTTAATTTCGATTAAAAAAAAAAAATGCAGAGAAATGCTGGGTTTTTCAAATGTCCTCTCTGTTGTTTCCCTCTGAACCGCAGCTGTCACATGCCTGACCTCTAGATCTAGTGCTGCCACTGTCAGATGTTGCTGGCGATTGTGTGTGTGTCTGTGTGTGTGCTATTAAAATATAACTTGTTTTTACAATCCACAGATAAATATGCTGAGTTTGACCTGAACGATCAGGGAGAGATCGGTAAGTGTGTGTGTGTGTGTGTGTGTGTGCATATGTATTTAAGACTTTGTGAGTGTTAGTGGGGAAGGGCTCTTTTGTCATGCTCACTGTGTAGGTGATACCACACTTGACAGATGGGAAACATGAGAACTCACCTGTAACCAACTTAAAGGTCACTATCATGTGCTGTAGAAAGAGTAGGAGTGACTCATGACAGGAGATGGAGATTTAAAAAAAATTGTAAATAAAAAGAAAAATACAAAAAGAACACCTTGTGAATTCAAATCTTTAAGCTTGTTGTTTGTTGCCCTAAAAGATTCAAGTTGCTGTGGGGGAGCAAAAATTGAGCAACAATTTCAAATCTTAAGCAAGTTAAGTCAGTCTTTATAGCACCTTACCTGAATAATAACACCTGAACTGTCTGGTCTCACTGTGCATGATTAATCACTGCATGCATGCAAACATGTGTCAAAATGTATTACTTACTGTGCATTTAAAGCAACTTTGCAGATGGCATAAACACAGCACAGGAGGGGGTTAATAACATTAATAATATTACAGAAATAATAAAAAAATTATTTCATATATTTTATTATGATTAACAACAATGAAGTCAAATCACGATGACAAGCTGTGCTGTTTTCCAATTCTGTTTCATTAAGAAATGTATAACATGCCTTTTTATGCAAATGGAAGGCTTGCCCACATAAGATGTTGGGGGAAAGTGGCATAGGCCCTTACCTTGATTGTAAATCCATCAGCTGAAGTGTGTGCCACAGAAATAAGGGCACTTTAGAGGGCGATTCATGGGATACTTGTAAAAATGTGTAGTTTGTGATAGCAAATAAGTATGTTTTTATGAGAGAGAGAGGCGTACTGTATAATGTGGGACACAAAAATTGAATACACAGTGAGGAGAAAATCATTCCACTAATGCAAATGGTGTGGAGAGATGAACACTGACAGCTCTGTGTAGCTCTACTCTATGGTAGTATGCTTGGTGTTGTACCAGCCCTGAGGACATGTATGTGGTGTTATCTTCAGAATGCATTTCTGTGAGCATTATGATTGTGCCAAACTAGTCAGTTGTAAGTAAATCCTGTATAATTACGCTTATTTTGAGGTCATGTACACCAAATCAGACTCTCTCTTAGGGGACTCTCACACAAAAAGTAGGGGTCTTGACACAAGTTATTTCAAGACTATTTTTAACTTGATACTTCACTTAAAACACAAACCAACTGCCAAAGACATCCGTCTGCGTTTGTACTATGCAGCCCTTCAACAAGGTTAATGCCAGATATTCAACAAATATACAGACCAAATACTGACCTCAGTAATTGACTAGTTCATTGGTAAACAACTAGTCAGCCATCCCACCTTTATTAGGGATCTACTTGTCAAGCTGTAAGAGTCTGTTTGTAGTAGTTCACTGTTGTTTGTTTGTGTGATGATGGCTGTATATGTGTGTGTTTCCTTTGCAGACATGATGGGCTTGAAGCGAATGATGGAGAAGTTGGGTGTGCCAAAGACTCATCTGGAGATGAAGAAAATGATCTCCGAGGTGACGGGAGGTTGCAGCGACACCATCAACTACGGGGACTTTGTGAAAATGATGCTTGGCAAGCGATCAGCTGTTCTCAAACTGTAAGTATGTGTGTATATGCGTGTTTCAGAATCAGAAAGAGCTTTATTGCTTTAAGGAAGTCGTCTTGGTGTCAGGAGCTTCCAGTACAGAAAGTACAAACATAGTGCAGACATGCATATAATTTAAGGTAATAAAAACACTAATAATAAAGAGAATAGACAAAAAAAAATTCTAAATAACAATATAATAATAAAATATAGAGAAAAAGAAAATGTCAATAGACATGTTTCTGTGATTCTTCATGCATGTTCTCTCTCCATCATGTTTTAATATTGGCAAATGGCATTATGTGGAATTGTCAGGCTATTTCCTGCTGGCGAGTGCTTTGACACAGTCCAGCTATTTTTAGATGTGTTTAATCTTGTCAGCACATCCAGTGCAGGATTAGCATATCTGTGCCATTATCTCTCAGTGGTGGAGGGATCCGCTGTCACAGGTGATGTCATCACCATGGGGTTGGATCAATACCAGAAATTTGGCTTTAGTACAGTACAAGCCTCTGGTACCTCTGTATCAATACTAAATCGATACCCAAGTCACTAAATAAACAGCCTTGAGTGACTGATAATATGAAACAGAGGCTGTCAATTGTTAATGTTGCAATTATCAAATGAAATGGAAAAAAAATAGTGTGACAAAATAATATTTTGTTTAAAAAAAAATAAAAAAAATTCATACTACCTAAAACAATTTATTTTATGACAGTATTTTTATTTCATTTATTTCACATGATCTCATTCTTTTGAATTTAAACAAAAAACTGTGGCTTTTCACTGTCGAATAAAGCTTTTAAAACTTTCAAAATAAACAAACTGTGTCACATTAAGATTTTTAATGACACAATTTTGTACTTGAATATACAATGACATAACAGACCACACATTTTCTTGGGTGGGGTTCGGAGATGCAGCTTTCCCCTAATTATGGCCGTCAATGACAAAAAAAAACACCTCCCTAGTCTCGATGGAAATGATAAACAAAATCTTTAACTTCCTTTTTTCTTTTTGTGAAAAACATGGCTGTAGTTTGGAAAAGAAAATTGGGTTGTTTGCGACAAACACTAGTTTGTGCCAAGTTTCATGATTCATTGAAACTATCTTAAGCTATTTTTTCACAAGGCTTTTGAGTGGATGAGTGGACTTGAGTTTCTGAAGTCTCTTACACACAAAGTGCTCAGGTTTGACATTACAGAACATAGTGGTTGAACAGTCATTGGAGGTGTCATACTTTATGTTGGATCACTCCATGAGTAAATACCTATAGCAGACTGAAATATAATTTCAGATATAATTGTGGAAGCGAGAAAAGACATAGTGGAAAATGCGTTGTTGTACAGTTAGGAAACACAATGGGAGTCTGTATGAAATGTTATGATTTTCTGCTCGCTAGATTTGATAGATGGCTTTTTTTCACCCATTTTAAAGTAGCCTACACCAGACAGAAGTTGGTTTGTCTGAACATTTTGAAAAGTAATTGCACAAATTGTGGTATAATTCCTGTGTGTAACTATCATTTGAGTTTCATGCTAAAGTTGTCTGGTGCTTTGCCTCAGTAAACAGAACTAGTCATAACCACTATTACTGAATGTCTGGTTCTTGGCTCTGATGCTGCAGATGGAGATTGTTTCATTTCATGCTGTGCTGGATGTCTTTAATAACTGGTTGTGTCAGTAGAGACATACTGATTTATTATTAGTTTGTAGTGATGTGTATCTTCATCTGTCTATATTCTACACATTGTGAATGGGTGATTTGTGACTAGATGTCAAGGTTTACCTGAAACAAAGTCACATGGTCTGAATTACAGTATGTGAGCGGAGTGGAGCGGCAACAATTTCTCAGAAACACCGCTGTGCCTTTGCTCCATGATGAAATATGTGGCTAAAATATTTCAGTATGTTTTGAAATACCACAAAGTTCTGTTCAGAACTTATATTTAACGAAAAATAAATACACTATGCGAGAGTTTAATGTGGTTTATTGGAACACTCCAATTAGCCCAAGTCTATATTAAATAACTGTTGGACTCACTTGTCTGTGCAGCATCTCTCTACTATGGCGAAGCTGAGTGTTGTAGTTGCTTCAGAAACCGAAAGAATATGCTGTAACTTTTCCATTTTTAAGCTGATAAATCACAGGACAGCGTTGACCATTTTCTACACTCCTGATCTGTGTGCGCGTGTGTAGCAATGTAGCAGCAGCACATTAGTTTAGAGCGGAGATTTACTACCTGTACAATAAACTGTTTAAAACGTGAATTCACCCAATCAATACTGAGCATCCCACATGCTGCAAACAAACATGCTTGAGATAAAACCTCCCGCACTCGTCCATCTCCGTCATTATAGCCTTCACCTTCTTTCTGATTCGAGTGATCCATATATCTGTCACGCTAGCTAATGATATTTGTGACCCTGGACCACAAAACCAGTCATAAGGGTAAATTTTTCGAAATTGAGATTTATACATCATCTGAAAGCTGAATAAATAAGCTTTCCATTGATGTATGGTTTGTTAGGATAGGACAATCTGGAGTATGAGGGTGCAAAAAAATCTAAATATTGAGAAAATCTCCTTTAAAGTTGTCCAAATGAAGCGTGAATTCTTGATCAAATGCAGTTATATTATGGGCTGTTAGCATTAATTGTGCTCGTGATGGAGCGGTAGTGGAGTGAAAACCACGACGCTCCGACTTTAAAAACGTCCACTCCTCACTCCAGTCAAAAATCACGCCGCTGCACTCCGCTCACATACTATGGTCTGAATAGATCAATCAGCAGTTCTGCACTGTCACTGTTCTCTTTTTTTATCTCGTAACTCCAAAATTGTATCTGATCCAGCTTTTGTGGTTTCACAGGCTGGTCCAATCTCTTTTTTTTACTGTCTTTTACAGTGCACTTATTCTCTCTAGCTCTCACTACTAATCTACTCGGTGGGAAGCTGGGATTGCTTCTAGCCAGTGCTGGACACTGAGTGGTGTTTTTAACTCCCTATGTTCTTAAATGCCTACATTTGGACATAGAAGCCTTATCCTTTGAAGCATAGGACTAAAGTGTATGTGCATGATAAAATATTGACATCTGATCATATTATATATAACATAATTATAATATAAATATTTTATCTAAATTACAATTGATTTTAATAAATTCCCTTGTAGTGGTGGGGAGATTAAACTTATTCATAAAAATACTTGCAAAGCTAATATGGTTTAAATAGTTTACCATAAATATTTTAATGGTGTGGGTTTTTTTCACATTGAATGATGGTTCTAATTACTTTTAGGCAAGGCCAGTTTATTTATATAGCACATTTGTACACAATGGTAATTCGAAGTGCTTTAAAATAAGAGCAGAAAATAAAAAATGTAAAATGAATAAAAAATAATTTAAAATGAATCAATTTTAGGTGGCAAGAGGAGTTCACTTTCTTTTTTTAAATTCATTATAAAAAGTGTGCATATAATATATATACAGGTGCATCTCAATAAATTAGAATGTCGTGGAAAAGTTCATTTATTTCAGTAATTCAACTCAAATTGTGAAACTCGTGTATTAAATAAATTCAATGCACACAGACTGAAGTAGTTTAAGTCTTTGGTTCTTTTAAGAACCAAAGACTTAAACTACTTCAGTCTGTGTGCACTGAATTTATTTAATACACGAGTTTCACAATTTGAGTTGAATTACTGAAATAAATGAACTTTTCCACGACATTCTAATTTATTGAGATGCACCTGTATCTACACCCCAGTTGTGGAATATTTTAGATTTGATGGTTGAAATGAAATGACCTTTTCACTAATGACTTAATGAATTTTCTCTCTTCTCTCGTACAGGGTTATGATGTTTGAAGACAAAGCTAACGGGACCAGCTGTAAACCCGATGGACCCCCACCCAAGCGTGACATCACCAGCCTACCATAGATGGCATCCCTGCATTCGCAAATCCTGCCCATTTAACATTAGGGGCTAGGTTTCTATAGCCTTACCTAGAATCTTTTTTGCCAAGGTCCAGGGAAAATCTTAGTTCATAGACGGACAAAATTAAGAAAAAAAAGTGAAAGATGTCTATATATATATATATTTGCTGTGAAGAAGTCGAAGCACAAAGTGGCTTTTTATAAGTAAACAAATGTATATATTTATATGAAAAAGGTGTTTTTGAATAGTGTTTACAAGCACAAATCCTGTGGGTTAAGTACTAGTGAAGTTTAGTGTGTAACACTGCAAGTGTACTAAGTATAGCGTGTATGGGATGACACAATTGTAGCTTGCAAGGCAGATTTTAAGAATTACGGTTGAGAATTACGATTTTTCGTCCTCCCCCATAATGTGTGATTTCATTTTTTTCATTTTAAGATGTTCATGTTTGCCACTTAAGTTGTATTCGCTTGAAGCGTTCTTTAGCTTTTGCTAACTCCGTGTCCTAAAGTGTGACATTGTAGATGTACGTGAGGCTCTTTTAAGATTCATTTAGTGCTCAGCCATGAAAAAGCTTTTCATTTAGCTTGTTCTGCTTCTAAATGCAGGATTTCCTTTGTAACATTTCTGTACAGGAAGGGGCAGGGCGTGAGAAAGCTGGGATTTGAGTGAGGGAGAAGGCAAAAAGGGACTACCGTTCATTCCTCAAACTTTTTGCTCATTCTGTCAATCCCTTCTTCACTTTCCACAGTCTTCAGACTTTTTTTTTAACCTGTTTGTATGCGTCCAAGTGACTGTAATCTGTAACTTTACTGTACCATATAAGCACATTAACTGTTAAGTACACACATATTGTGCAGATATGCTTTGAATCACTTTTAGGTTATGCTTTCATAAATTCTGCTTAAATTGTAAATGATGTCGTGGGTAAGATGTGTCGCTGATCGTCGCGTTTTAGATCCGCAGCAGGGTTTATTTTAGTCACTATGGCCGATTAGTTTGAAACCACTCTTTGTAAGTGCCTCACTCAGTTTGATGTAGCAGAGGTTGACTGAAGATTGAGTGAAGCATCTTTGAAACATATTTTGTGTGTGTGTGCATGGAATTTATATTCTGTTGAGTACCATTTTGAGACATTCCAAGAAAGTCGTGTGATGGAGTCCTTGGAAATGTTGTCATGTTTTAACCCAAGCAGACTTACATGTTGTGCAGCTCTGATGCAAATATTCCAGTAGTGCTTTGTCCTCTTTTATTTTATTTTCCAATGGCCTCATCAAGTTTCCTTTCTATAAGATGTGCTTTGTAAGGAAAACAAAATCTCAAAAGTTTTTTATTTTTATTTTTTAGATTAAGATGACATGTCAGCAGAAGCAGGTGTGGCTTTCACTTCCATTTCAGACTTCATCTGCAAATAAAGCAACTTTTATTTGTTTCTGTGCCTCTATTCAAGTTCATCTCATTGACATGCTTTTATTTTCTTTTTAATATCAGTGAAGTGTGAATTGAGGTCTGCACTGTATTGCTATTTATTAGAAATGCATTTCAATGAGTTATTAGAATTATTAATAGTTTTCTGTCAGCATATTAATAAACAGAAGCATTTGTAAACACCAAAGGAAGTAAATACCCTACTGTTACACCTGAACTATTAGTGGAGCTCTTTTCTTTATGTGTGTGTGTGTGTGTGTACTTGGATATAATTGTCCCCCAGAAATGTGTGATAAAACCTCAGTTTGGGGACATTCAGCTATGTCCTAATTTGTGAAAAGCCTTTAAAGTGGGTTTACTCTTACAATCTTTCATAATACTAAAAATGTGAGTTTTCATTTGAGGTTAGAGTTGGTGTGTGTTAGGAAGTGTGGGGTCAGTGGGATTTATTTCTTTTAAAGAAATAAGTACTTTTATTCAGCAAGGACACATTAATCAGAAGTGACAGTAAAGACATTTATGATGTTACACGATTTCTATTTCAATAAATACTGTTATTTTGAACTTTCTTTTCATCACAGAATCATGAAAAGAGTATATGATGGTTTTCACAAAAATATTAAGCAGCACATCTGTTTTCAACATTGATAAGAAATGGTTCTTGAGCACCAAATCAGCATATTAGAATGATTTCTTAAGGATCATGTGACACTGAAGACTGGAGTAATGATGCTGAAAATTCAGCTTTGCATAACAGGAACAAATTGCATTTTAAAATATATTCAAATAGAAAACATTTTAAATTGTAATAATATTTTACTATGTTACTGTACAAATACATTAAAATATATATATTACTAACCCCAAACTTTTTAATGGTAGTGTAGTCTATTAATTAAAAACCTATAGAAGCCTTTTGTCACCATTTAGATAAGTAAACTAAGATAAGTAAATGTGTGTTTACGTGGATTTCCAATGTAAAACATCAGTAATAATTTAGTCCAGCACAAAAATTATTCTGTAACACAATATGGTTTCAGCTGTCTCTTGGGTACGTGAGGAGCTTTCTTGCTGTGTAGTCTATAATGTTCAAGCAGTCATAATGGAAACCACATGGGTGTATGAAGTGACGGAAGCCATGATAACCCACATTTACACATAAATAACTCATGGTCTTAATCTGTAGCTTAGCCTGTGAAACTAGCATGTGTGAAGTCAACCATTTGTTCAAAAAATATGCTATGGGTATGGTAATGGTCACAAGAAGATATTACATCTCTAGGGTTTGTTTGTGCCACCCTGTTTTATGCTGTGTGTAGGAATGAAAACCTCTTCAATTATAGAACCAAAATGAAGGAACTCAAACATATATTCACCTTTTTGCTCACAAAACAAGGTTTTGAAAACCACTTCACTTAACTGTCTTTGTTAACATTTCTGAAAAAACAGAAGTTATGTTGCGGCTTTTCCAGAATAATGATAGTAAAGAGGACCTTTTCATAAGAGTAAACTCAGTGGTCCAGTTCACTTCCTCATTAGACTTCTGCATTACAGATAGAAGTGGCCTTGTTTTCACCCACAACTCAGTTCTTTATACAGCTTATCTACAGTATATATGTGAAACAATGTTTAAAAAGGTAATTGTTACCTCCTCCTCCACACAGTTAAACAGCAGGTCTACGTGTCGCTCTGTCTCTGTCGACTGTAATCTGCTGCTCTCTTTCTGTCTGTCTCTCTTCCCCGTTCTGCCTAAGAGACATGTATTGACACTAAAAGGAACTTTACCAAACATCTCTTGTAACGCTGACCTTTGTAATCTGCCTTTGTGTCAGAAATAACAAATAGAGCTAGCATAGACTGATTAAAAATTACCAGCAATTTTATATGCAATGATTAGTACTGTATTCGTGCTGTTATACATTTACATTTAGTCATTTAGCAGACGCTTTTATCCAAAGCGACTTACAAATGAGGACAATGGAACCAATCAAAATCAACAAAAGAGCAATGATATACAAGTACTATAACAAGTCTCAGTTTGCTTAACGCAGTACACCTAGCAAGGGTTTTTTAAATAATATCATAAATAAAAAGAAAACAGATAGAATAGAAAAAGAATAGAGCAAGCTAGTGTTAGAGGTCTTTTTTGCTTTTGTTAATTGTATAATAAATGAAAAGAAAACAGATAGAATACAAAAAGATTAGAAAGCAAGTGTTTTTTTTTTTAAGAAACCAATCAGCAAATGAATAGAGTGCAAGTCTAAATGGGACAAGTGTGTGTTTTTTTTAAAGAATAGAATTAGAATAGAGAGTGCTAGAGTTATAAATATTTCAAATAAAGATGGAAGAGATGTGTTTTTAGCCGATTCTTGAAGATGGCTAAGAACTCAGCTGCTCAGACTGAGTTGGACAGGTCATTCCACCAGGAGGGAACATTTAATTTAAAAGTCCGTAAAAGTGATTTTGTGCTTC